GTTTTGATGGTGCCCGATTTCATGAACTTGACACTCAAGTGTCTAACAGAGATTGGGAGTGTGCAAATTGGGTCGCAGTATCTGTTTGACGAGACGCTTGTGCAGATGTTTACAAATACGATGGTGAAGGTGTCGGAAATGATCCCTTCGCCGATGGATCTCAAGCAAACATATGCCACAAGCAACTCGCGTGAACAAGAGTTTATTCTAAATTTAACCCTCTTCCTTTGTAACTTCTTCAGCGTACACTTAAATGTAGGTTTCAACCCTTTCATTTAACCCGCAGTCTTTTCTGGTGATTGAAGATCCTAATGCTGACTGTTCCTGATACCTTATTCATTTTTTTTTTTTTTTTATTTTTAGCTCCTCGAAAAGCTGCCCGATACCAACATCCTCATCCGTGCGCATTATTACCTTATCTGCATTAGCAAGATCGATGACAGGGAAATTTTCAAGATCTGTCTCGAGTACTGGACAAAGCTAGTGCAGGAATTGTATGAGGAAATGCAACAGCTCCCGATCACAGATATCAACCCCTTAGTCAATATGGGCGTCAGCGGGCTTTCGAATGGAGGGGCTCCGAATCCTAGTACCCTAGCCAACTACCCCCTCCGAAAACACAAATATCAGGAGGTCCTATCAGAGCTGAGGGTAGTGATGATAGAGAAGATGGTGAGGCCTGAGGAAGTTCTAATCGTGGAAAACGATGAGGGCGAAATTGTGCGCGAGTTCGTCAAAGAGAGTGACACCATTCAACTCTACAAGACCACGCGGGAGTGTCTGGTATACCTCACCCATCTGGACGTGGTGGACACTGAAAACATTATGGCGGATAAATTGGCCAAGCAAGTGGACGGCTCCGAATGGTCGTGGGCGAACTGCAATACGCTGTGCTGGGCGATCGGCTCCATATCCGGCGCGATGAATGAGGAGACCGAAAAACGCTTTCTTGTCACCGTTATCAAAGACCTGCTTGGCTTGACGGAAATGAAACGCGGCAAAGACAACAAGGCTGTCGTGGCGAGTAATATCATGTACATAGTTGGACAGTATCCTCGGTTTTTAAAGGCGCATTGGAAATTTTTGAAGACGGTAGTGAACAAGCTGTTCGAGTTCATGCACGAGACGCATGAAGGTGAGTCTTTTCGATCCCTGATCCCCAGCAAAGAAAAGGAGCTCATATGAAAAAAAAAAAAATCCAATAGGTGTCCAGGATATGGCCTGCGATACGTTTATCAAAATCGCCAACAAGTGCAAGCGCCATTTCGTCGCTCTTCAACCTGGCGAGAGCGAGCCGTTTATCGAAGAAATCGTCCGAACTATGCGCAAAATCACCTGCGACCTCTCCCCACAACAAATTCATACCTTCTACGAGGCCTGTGGCTATATGATTTCAGCGCAGGGCCAGAAGAGCCTTCAAGATAAGGTGATTGAGAACCTTATGGCGCTTCCGAATTCAGCCTGTTAATGCCATTATCAGCCAAGCCAC